TAAATGTTATTTCACCACATATATAGCAAAAGCTATCGACAGAATTCACACACTTTCGAGGCATTTCAGATCAGCACTTAAATTAATTTAAAAATCAACTTCACACGATAATTTCAATAGCAACCACGTGCGTACAATTGACAAACTCACATAGGTTATGTTTACTACTTAAGAACAGCTGATGAGAGGGGTGTTATGTAAACAAACATGTGTACCAACTGTTGGTGATGAAATATTTCATTTGTTGAAAACTCAATATACATATATATAATATAATGATACTATATCTTGAAAACAAGAGCTAATATATAATTTTTATGGTCACATTCGGTTTTAACACGTGGAAATACATTAAAATCATCTAATTTCAACCCCGAAACAAAAACTTTGTTGTGTTGTGAGGTTGATGATTACCAACTTTTTGGCCTGAACTAAATGATCAGGACACCAACGACATGTGGTCTCAACAAGCCACTGAGATTGTGCGATTTGACCCCATTAGACTTTTTCTTATGGGGTTCTCTCAAGTCGCAGGTGTATGCGAATAAGCCACAGCCAATATAATCCATGTCATTAATCAAATTCAGCCTAATTTATGCGCCAAAGTCATTTCAAATTGGACATTTTGGTTACGCTCCACCCATAGAAGCGGACATTTTTTTAAGGACAAAACACAAGCACTACAGGAACATTCTTAAAGCGTTGGATTCCATTTGAAGAAAAGTTTTCAGGAAGTTCATCTCTAAATATATATAACTCACTGACTGGCATAGTGATCTATCAACACACAGCCCAAACCACTGGACGGATCAGGCTGAAATTTGGCATGCAGGTAGATGTTATGACGTAGGCATCCGCTAAGAAAGGATTTTGATAAATTCCACCCCTAAGGGGGTAAAATAAGAGGTGATAGAGGATGTAAATGTAATAAATTGAACCTATCAGTACCTAATGGAATGAATAAATTAAGACGAACAAAATAATTTTTAGATCTGAATGTTGACAATAGATGGCGTTAGTAGTAGTACAAAAATAATCGTGTGGGACGAAATAACGATAGCTCATAAAGGTGGTGTTGAAGCCTTGAACAGATCACTAAGGGATATAAGGAGTAATACAAAATTAATGTGTGGCGTAACAGTTTTGCTGGCCGGAGACTTTCGGCAGACTCTACCAGTGGTGCCAAAAGTAACCAGAGCTGACGAAGTAAAGTCGTGCATTAAGAAATCTAATTTGTGGCCCCAGGTTAATATTCTTAAGGTCTCTAAAAATATGAGAGCACATTTGGGCGGAGATCTTCGGAAAATCGGTAGTGGTGATTGTCCATCGTTTGAATAAATCGATTTTCATTTTGTTCTTTCCAAGGGATGTAAATTTTTTGTGTACACATTTGCATTGGTAAGGCAAGTCATGTCCAATCGACTTATTTTTGACCCTAGAATATGTGGTTCAATTCATGACCTACCCTTTCGTTGTATGATACTAAACAAAGTATACATTTCAACTACTGTTTCTTTCCGGTAGAAGATTAAATTATAACATAGAAAAAAGGGGACATAAACACCATAAATCACTAAAAAGTAATTTCGTCTGTGAGACCTTCGATGAATACAGTTGAGTTGACGTCAGACTAACTGTGATAGTTGAGGAACTTTCGATGTTTTCATTATAATATTGACATGTGTATTTAGTGAAATCTCATTTATAACCTGTTGGAAACCCTCTGCCATCACATTGGAGAATAAACCTTGAAGCTCTAATATCCTCATTTTTCAAGGTGGTCGTATCTCCAGAATATGGATCGGACCACATCCAAACTGAATCTAAAATATGGGATTCGCAGTGGTGTTCAAAATATATTGATACTTCAATTATGGATGCTCCTTGGACACTCAGTAGACAATTAGAAGATGAAATTGTTAGGCAATATCATCAACTCAACGATGGTAATACGAAACTACGAAAAGAAATACTTTTTAAAAAAATTGTTGAGAAATTACCAGAAAATATCATGTACATCTGCTTTCATGTAAACAACATGAAAATGAATAAGCAAGAAGAAGATGAAGAAGTCAAGGGACTCGAAAGCTACTTCAGATTTCTGATAAAAAAGAAGATTAATGACATCATCGAAGACGTTAATGACAGCAATGGTCAGAAGTCGATCGATGTAAGCAATCAAAAACCAAACAAGGTTAGTCTTTTTCATCATCTTCTATTCTTATGTAATTATACAACCGTATTGCTCTACTTGGACTGAATAATTAACAATCATCTTCGGGTTACATTCCATTTCCTCTGCTTATACACGTTAACTCCTCTTGAATAGCACTTTGTGATAATATGGGGTATTGTAGTCATATAAACTTTTTCTTCTCCAAAAGTTAAAAGGAATATCTGCGTAATAAAATTGGGATTGAATTATTAGCTTTTCAGCTTACACACCCCACTGGAAATATAAAAATGAGATTTCCATAATGCCAATTTGTTCAGAAAACTGCATCTTGATAATATGAAGAATGTTATTGAACACAAAAAATGCAATGAAAATTATTGAAGCTTTCATCTTTAACTAGGTTTATTCAGCATCGATATGCTGCAAATATTGAATATTTGTTTTTTTTTGTATTGATACTCAAACAACTTTATATTATCAGAAAGTGCTCAAGAGATTTGAGGAAATTAGGAAGAAATTGGGAACGAAAGATTATGGTTATCATTTCTCCATCTGTATACAAAATAAATATAGTTTAAAAAACTAAAAAACACGATTTTAAAAACATTGAAGTAAAAAGTTGAAAATATTTTTTTTAATAAGCATAAACCAATAACGAACAAAAAATACTAGTATTATTGTGAAAAAAGCGACGGGCGCTTGACATACAAAAAATATGGCACAAAGCTTTTTTCACAATAATACTATAAAGAAGACCAAACACATGAAAGTCACAGGGTGACCGGTCTGGACTGTAAGGAGGGTGTTTCCCACCTCAGTTGCTCCAATTTTTTCTTAGTCACTGCTGCTGTACGAGGGCGAGCATTGCCATGGAGAAAAGAACGGTAGCCGACAAACGTGACTTGGCTTTCACTGGTCTAGGTTCTCCTTGTTTTCTCCACTCCATACTCGCTTGTTTAGACTCTGAGGTGTAGTGGCACACCCATGTTTCATCAGAGGTGATAATGTGAATGATAAATTGGTCTCCTTGTTCCTGAAATCGTGCAAGAAGACGCCCACACACCTGAAGACGATGCACTTCTGGTCAGCTGTGAGTATGGAGTAAGTGCTCCCATAACTTATCCCGACCTCACTTGCAATTTCAGAAGTGGTACGACGTCTGTCATCTTCAATAAACCGTCGAATACTGCTGATACTGTTCACTGTAATGCTGGTGCGAGGCCTGCGGTCATCGCTCTCTTTTTCAACACGATTACGACCCTCCACGAACTGCTTATGCCATGCAAACACTCTGGCTCGCGACAGTATCTCTTCCCCGAACTGGGCAGTCAATCTCTTTAAGATTTCGGCCGGTTTTACGCCTTCTGCGGCGAGAAACTTGATTACAACACGTTGCGCAATTGACGGATGTACCTCTTGCCCCGACATCGTCCGGGTGGACACTGAGAGGGTCGAGGAGGCGAGCCTACGTGTTTCCTCTATTCCTGACAAACCTACCCAACAACAAACATAGCAGGAACGTTCTCCCTCCACTATTGTGCCTGAAGGTCGAAAAGTCTCGTTTATATTTGATTTACCCCAACAGTCGCTGAGCTTCCTAAAATATTATCAACCAGATAAATTTTCGTCAACACCCACTTACGAATTGTGAACTCCCATTTTTTGGTTACGCCAACGTAGACCCACGTCGAGTCTCTCATGGACCCATGGGGGTCCACCTGGATCACTTTGGGGATTCACTGACTTATAAGAACTAGTAACTATTACCGCAGCAATTTCTAAATTAGATTTAAGGTCTCGCATATTTATACTTGTATAGTGTAAATTCATTTTAGAAGAAGCAACTGAAAACTCATAAAAAAATTATGATTCTGAACAAAAAATGATTTTTAAACAAATTCAATAATTTGTGTTACAGGAGGAAGTGGCTCCCGAAACGTTGATTCCTGACACACAACCTAAATCAATTGAAGATACCGACGAATGGTGTTCAAATTATATCGATACCTCTCTGATGGACGCACCTTGGGAGCTTGGCAACCAACTGAAAGCTGAAATTGATCGTCAATATCATCTACAAGCTCGGGTTATCACAAAACCACAAAACGATGCAGTATTTCAAAAAATAATTGGGGAGCTACCCGATAACATTATGAGCATTTGTTTCAATATTCCGGGTATGAAGTTGAGCGAACGAGACAGTGACAAAGTGAAAAAGGGGCTTGAAGATTACTTCAGATTTTTAATAAAGCAGGAGATTAGTAGGGTTGCTGAAGCAGATACACACAATAACCAGAAATTTGAACAACAAGAAAAGGTCAGTTTTACTGATATAAAAGGTTTACGACTTTAACAAAATTGCATAGTATGAAAGCTGGTGTTCTTATAACAGTTGGGCAGAAAAATTTGTAGGCTAACATAGAATTTCTTTTTATAAAATTTGATTTTAGTATTCAATACAGTTGCCTTTGATGGCGATACAACAATTTTCTTTGTCGATACATTCTGCATCCTTTTTTCCTTTCATTCGATGTGCTTCACGTGATGATGTGACTGTGTTATTAACGAAGATACAGCTTAATGCTCTTTTCACCGCTGTCTCTGTTTTTTTCTGTCGATACATTCTACATTCATTCTACTTTCATTTGATGAAAGTCTATTAATAACGAAGATATACTTAGTGCCCTTCTAACATATTGCATGCCATCTTACAACGTATTTTGAATATATATATATATACGTTTCTCATTGTGATCGCGCGTTGAAACGCTAGACTCTCGTTAAACCGACATGTTTTTCTGTTAAATCATGTATTTTGCCACACCTTGTACACATTGACACCATGTTTGTTTTCCTAAATAATGTATTTTGACACACCCTGTACACATTGGGGATCGCACGTTGAAACATTGGAGCCCCGATAAACTGCCATGTTTTTTTGTTTTCTTGAAAGATGTATTTTGAGACACCCTGTATATTCCACTGAATGCCCGTTGCACTGCGGACATGTTTTTTCGTTTAATCTGATTTTTCATTCATCATTATTTCAATAAAATCTTCGCGCTTCGAATATTTTCATCTACATTTATTATTTTTACAAACGTTTCTTTCATTCTCAGTTCACCCCGTATATTAAACATTTCCCCCAATGCGACTACGTCACACACCCGTCACTAAAATTAGTATGGGTGTGCCACAAAGATCTGATCGGAGGTCGTAAAATCACCAGAATGGATCTGCCCAAATTAGCCCGGGTTTTTGCATGAGAAATGTCGTCGGACTCTTGCAAGAACATTACTGCTGTTCAAAATAGGCCTCAGATTCGACGATTTCTTCTTCATCGAAAATAAATTCATTTCCAGCGGGCATTCTATTGCAGAAGCAATTCGAAACCCAATTCATGCAATTTTGCCATTGTTTCGATTGACTTGTGACACGGTGCGTTGTCTTGATGAAACATTTTTTTTCTTTGCCATATGCGGTCGTCCCTTTGCAATTTCGGCCTTCAAACGCTTCAATAACGCTATATAATATTTACTGTTGATGGTATTTTCCTTCTCAAGATAGTTGATGAATATTACACCATGCACACCCCAAAATACCGAAGCCATAACTTTTCCAGCTCATTGTTGTGCTTTTGGGAGCTTTAAACGAGGTTCATCAGTTGTTCTCCACTCAGATGACGATCGTTTTGATTTCGGAGTGAAGTGATGGATCCATGTTTCATCCATTGACACATGTCGAAGCAAAAATTCCGATTTGTTATGATCAAACATGGTCAAAATCATCAAGACGTCCTTGATTTTGGTCAACAGTGAGCGCGCGCGGCATCCACTTTGAACAGAGCTTTCTGATAGTCAAATGCTCAGGCAATATAAAGACAACACGTTCTTTTGATATCTTTACAAGCAACTTCACTTTTCGATCATTCAAAACGATTTTGTGGATTTTTTTATGTTTTCTGGTGTTACTGCCTCATTTGGTCGTCCACTGCGGTCTACATCAGCAAACCAACGTTTAATTGTTGTTTCTGATAGAGCCAAGTCTTTATAACACTTTTCAAACCATTGCTTCGCTTGAACGGCATTTTTTCCAATCAAGAAGCAGTGTAAAATTAAAACTTCAAATTGTTTTTGATCCATTGATTTGAAAATAACAAAAGTAGGGTCACTCTTAGCACAATAACTAACAAACTCATGAGTAGAATATCATAAAATTTCAACAGGTTAGTACTAACTGAAAGAGCGGTGAATTCAATAAGACTAACGCCATCTATGTGTTAGGCCCGAGACTTTTCAGCCCAGGTAGTATTATTGCTAATGTCAAATATGGAAAATAATCATGAAATAATTCAAATTCATTTAAGTAAATACACGAATTAAAAGATGTTCCAACCTCAACTTCAACATTATAAAACAAAAACTCTCAGTATTCAGAATTCCGTCCTTTAATATTCCAAGTTCATAGACATCGAAGTTGATACGATCACAGGATATAGAAATTTAAAACAATCTCCTAATACACAAAAGTTTGCACAGATTGTATACTGAGCATTTTACTTTATCGGATCAAAGTTGCAAAGTTGCAGGTCAAGATCATCAACAGACACTATTGAGAAATTCATTCAGTTTCTATTGATCTCCAGAAAAGGTTCCAGCAATTCAGCACATCTCCTTTCCTTCCATCCTGCTGGGTGGCAGTTTTTGGTGATTCATTGTATTTTTTAGTAACATTTTAGTGTAAGTTTATTCCTGAAGAATTTTTCCCGTCTCGTTACAATAAATATTTAATTAAGTTTTTCAAATGAGTTCTTTCATTATTTGGATGAATGATGAATGGCTGAAACAGCGAATAAAATCCTCTTGTTAATAAGCCAAGCGAGTACTGAGATGTGACACTTGGTGGAAACGCCTCTCTCGTTCTCGGGGGCTTCATTCTCCATAATGGGCCTGTGAAACTAGTTTTTCAATACAAAAAAAAGTTGAATTGTTCAAGTATAAATAATATTTTGTGGTAATTACCTAAAAATTGTGTTTCTACACCCGTACTCTAACAATACACTTATATGACCATAATCCGTTTCATAATGATATCCATTATGATACAGATTTTTCATAACGATACAGATTATCAACCAATAGAAACCCATATTTGCAAATTTTTTCATTTCTTATCTGTAAATTTCGAAAATATGAGCGGTACATTTTCCAATATCTGTTTCATCAGCTTTGAACTGTACTGTTGAATGGATGAATGATGAATGGGTGAAACAGCGAATAAAATCCTCTCGTTAATAAGTCAAGCGAGAACTGAGTTGCGACACGTGGTGGAGGCGCCTCTCTCTTTCTCGGGGGCTTCATTCTCCATAATGGGCCTGTGGAACTAGTTTTTCAATACAAAAAGTTGAATTGTTCAAGTATAAATATTTTGTTGTAACTACCTAAAAAGTTTTTTTTTCTTGTGTTTTACAATAATGAGAGAATTTAATAGCTGTTTCATCCAGTAAAATGACAGTTTTTCCTTCTTTTCAATATATTTCAAATAAATGTTTTTTTTTGTTGTTCAATCGTTAGCTTTGAATGTGTTATAAGTTGGTTTTTGAGCGTCAATTGTTTTTTCTTCAATCCATATACAACCTATTATTTCAATCAAATTTCCATATGTTTCCCTTCTCAAATTATGAGTGATACACTTTCTAATAACTGTTCATCAGCTCAGAAAAAAAAGTATTACTGAAGTTGAGCAATCGTGAAGAATATCTGTTCATTCAGCTTCTTAAGATTGCCAATGGAATAATTTGCAAATTTTTTCATTTCTTATCTGTAAATTTCGAAAATATGAGCGGTACATTTTCCAATATCTGTTTCATCAGCTTTGAACTGTACTGTTGAATGGATGAATGATGAATGGGTGAAACAGCGAATAAAATCCTCTCGTTAATAAGTCAAGCGAGAACTGAGTTGCGACACGTGGTGGAGGCGCCTCTCTCTTTCTCGGGGGCTTCATTCTCCATAATGGGCCTGTGGAACTAGTTTTTCAATACAAAAAGTTGAATTGTTTAAGTATAAATATTTTGTTGTAACTACCTAAAAAGTTTTTTTTTCTTGTGTTTTACAATAATAAGAGAATTTAATAGCTGTTTCATCCAGTAAAATGACAGTTTTTCCTTCTTTTCAATATATTTCAAATAAATGTTTTTTTTGTTGTTCAATCGTTAGCTTTGAATGTGTTATAAGTTGGTATTTGAGCTTCAATTGTTCTTTCTTCAATCCATATACAACCTATTATTTCAGTCAAATTTCCATATGTTTCCCTTCTCAAATTATGAGTGATACACTTTCTAATAACTGTTCATCAGCTCAGAAAAAAAAGTATTACTGAAGTTGAGCAATCGTGAAGAATATCTGTTCATTCAGCTCCTATCTGTAAATTTCGAAAATATGAGCGGTACATTTTCCAATATCTGTTTCATCAGCTTTGAACTGTACTGTTGAGATTGGCTAAACGTATGGAATATCTGTTTATGCTTACGATTACCCATTACATGATTTCGAAATTTTACATTCGTATCTGACTTTTTTAAATATAAATGATACACCTACCATTATCTGTTACATCAGCTTGGGAATCTGATTCATAAAAAATTGCCTAATTACGACGAATATCTATTCCATCAGCTCGTTTTAGTTGTCAACTTTATATCATCAATTAGTTGAATTTCTATGATACTCTTTTTTCCAATCAATTTTTGGTATTTTATTGGTTATGACTCGAAAAACTCCTTCCTAGTCGTCGTCAATGTCAGCTCATTAAGTAATTAATATATTTAATATAATCAATAAGAATATTGACACAAGAAAGATATCGCAACTCAGTACTCGCTTGACTTATTAACGAGAGGATTTTATTCGGTGTTTTACCCATTCATGATTCATCCAAAATAATGAAAGCACTCATTTAAACATTTAATTAAATATTCATTGTAACGAAATGGGGAAAATACTTCAGGAGTAAAACTTACACTAAAATGTTAGTAAAAAATACAATAAATCACCAAAAATTTACATTATTCTGCAAGAAAAAGTAATGTGCTGCATTGCTGGAATCTTTTCTGAAGATCAATAGATACTGAATGAATTTCTCAATACTGTCTCTTTCTGATCTTGACCTTGTTTGTTTTATATTTCTATATCCTGTGATCGTATCAATTTTGATGTCTATGAACTTGGAATATCAAAAGATGGAATTCTGAATACTGAGTATTTTTGTTTTAGAATATTGAAGTTGAGGTTGGAACATCTTTCAATTCATGTATTTACTCGAATGAATTTGAATCATTTCATGATTATTTTCCATATTTGACACCATATTTTCACATTTATATTTGTTGTCTCTGTGCATGCTCCTTCAAAAATAGAATTTGATCCCGCCCCAAAGATTATTTGTGACAGATAATATGATGAAAATAAAGCTTCGTATGTTCTCAAATGAAGTGATATATCTGATATTTGTGGAATTTTTTGAAAACATGATTCATAATTATTCGATAATATACAATCTAATTATTTGTATTAGATAATTTCAAAATATATTTTATTTGTAGCTGGAAGCTACTCCCGAGGAAAACCTTGACAACCAACATAATCAGAGACAGTTTACAAGTCAAGTTATTGAAAGTAACGGTGTGAACAATGAACATACAAAGAAACCAGAAGGGGCAGCTTTTGTAATCACTGAGCAAGGCCAGTTCTATCAACGACCTCAAACCAAACCGGAAGCAGAACAGACTGCAGATTCCTTGATAAACGCCCTCAGAAATTCTCAAAGAAATCCACAAAATCAACAGAGAGTTGTGGAAGATTATGGTTATCACAGGAGATATGGTTACGGTTCATATGGATCCCAGAATCATGTATATGAAAGTTACAGACCATACAGATCCAGATATTCTCATTATCCGAAATATAATAACCCTGGATCATCAGTAATTCATGAAGACCCCAGTTACGAACAACACAGATCTTACGAATACCAAAATCAGTACCCATCTTATAACAAACCGTCAGATTATGAGTTCAAACCTCTGAAATATAACAATGAAAACTTGGAATCTGCTTCTTCCAGTCCCCAACAATATCGAAACCTTTATCATCAGCATCCAAGCTATCCCAAACCCCTCAACTATGGTCGTACAGAAGTAATTGAACAAAATTTTGAGACAGTATCAGATCTGAAACCAGAAAGAACGTATCCTGCAACTGTTGAAAAACCTGTAAGACCTGTGTACTCTGAAGTGAAGGGACCCAGTAAGTTCAGAAGCCACAGTTATCAGCCTATTTCACCACAACCTCAACCTATTTCACCACAATCTCAACCTCAACCAGATTTACCACAACCTCAACTATCTTCGCTATATGGTCAGCCCTCGCCGGTAGTGGAGCCAGTAATGGAGCCGGTAGTGGAGCCAGTTGTGAAACAGAAGATTGTGGATTCTGTGGATGATTCTCAAGTTGTTCGTGAGGAAACAACACCTGCACAAGTCACAGCAAGTACAACTGACGAGAATTTCCCGTGGTGGAAAAGATTTGGAAATAAAGTGAAACAAGGTGCGTCGGACCTGAAGAAAAAAATTATTGGATGAAAACAAAAGGAAAAGACTAATATAGGTTTAATCATTGTTAAATTATTATTTTTTAAATAAAACATTCACTTGTGATGAACTGTTTGGAACCTTTGCTGTAGTAATGAATATTACTGGAGTATTTTCCCAACACCAAACCGTTATTTTAACATCTCCACAAGTGTTTCGATCACCAAGTGATCATCTTCAAGAGGAGGATCAGAAACTGGTTTTTGATCTCCAGTAAGATTTATAATTTGAGAAACCTCTTCAATTTTGGTAGCCAATATTTCATATACACTATTTTGAATTAACGTATTCAAAAAACACACTTCAATGTGAGATTTCCACTTGAAAGTTTACAAATCTGCGACACGTGTTTCGCTATACGAAAGCATCTTCAGGCGCCACAGTACTGACTGAACAAATTCTGTGTCATGCTTCCATAGTAATTTCAATCATGACTATTATTACCTGACAAATTTCTGCCTGATAAATTCATTAACTGAACTATACAGGGCTTTTCATGATGAGCGTTAATTAGCCGTTTCTGGCAAACTATTCAACGGATCAACCTGAAAATTCCACAGTATGCATAAGTCAATATGACCTACACGCCTAAAATATTTTAGACGGAGCGGCGTTGTCGCTTCTACTATAAAGTAGATTTTTTAAATGGAACACCCCGTATATAATATCATATTATGATTCATTATCACTTTGTCAATAAATTCATATACTATTTCCCTATACCTATCTATTACCGTTTAGAAGATATAAATTAATTTCGATATTTTTTTTACCAAACAAGAACTTTTATAAATGCTGATAATCTTGAACTCTCTTGCACTAAAACGATCAAATTTGAAATGGAGTGGAGAATCTAGTTGAATAACTGTGATCATTACTTTAAGTGATAGTGTTTTTTTTATTTTTGAAAAATGGAACAAGATATTTCTAGAATATATAGCAAGAGTATCCTATTTAAATAAATATCTATCTATCTTTCTATAATTTCAATCTAGTTAGGGCTTAATAAGCACCTTATTACTTCAAATAACTGTAGCAAATTTCAACCAAATCAGTGTAAGGATATTCATGATATTTTATAAATTGCATTTTTCTTAACTTCAACACCCTATATCTCAGAAATAGCGAATCACCCTCTGGAGTTTGGTACCGTAGTTAGGAGACACCCTGTATTTTATAGAGGAATAATTGCATATAATGAATTACCAAATGAAGTTTTTCCAACACAGAAAAATTCAAAATAGCATTAAAGAACTATTTGTTTTATTAATTAACAATCATATTTGTTGTATGAATATTGGTTGTATAAATAATTCTTACCATTGTAGTTTCTTGGGAATAAATAACTAAAAATACCTGACCTATTCGGTCACTATTCAGTCTACCTGTGAATTCAATTTACAATATTGATTTTTTTTCAATCAATTCCAGGATTTTGTTTCTGTTGCTGTCTAAAAACATTTTACTCACCTCAGGTAAGTTGTTGTAAAACCTGATGAAGCTTTGCTGTTGTGGTAAGTCTATAAAATATAAATATATGTAAGATTAATTGAATATCAGATTCAATATATGGATAATACAAAGAAAATTCAAATCGTGTACACACTGATGGTAATTTTTTTTTAGCTTATAGAAGAATAAAAAGGAATTCTTAAAGCACTATTATGATTGGCCATAGACTTTGTTAGGACACTTGGAAGATTGCTTTTCTGCTATCCAGTAGAATGTTTTTGCAGTGACCTCTGCTCTCCATTCATGATTGAATGAGTTTTCTTATCAACTTATAATTCCCGTTCTTAACTGGAAAGCACAGAAAAATCTTTCTAAAGGTTTTTGAGGGACAGATAAACTAAGATCACTGGATTCGGGAATCCAGCCAAGTGCAACCGAGAGATCCAATACATGTCAGTACTATATGAATTCATGCTTTGGATTAAGAGTGCAGTGATTTTGGAGTTCAGTTTCTATTATAACTGATGTTGAAATCAAATAGGAGAATATTCGAAAAAGGAGAATATTCGTAAAAGGTGAATATATAAAAGTATACAAGTCCAGTTCTAATGGCATTATCTCCGCATCTTGGAAATAATAATTGAACAGTAATACTTTTCGTTTCGAAATATTATGTGAAAACATGAGTTGAAAATATAATAAAGAATTCTTCATACCTTCAAAAATAAAAATTGCTACTGAAGTCTACAGCACTAAGCATGACTTCTCTCAAGTGAATTTGATATAAATTATTCGGAGGCACTCACCCAAATTCAAAGCCGTTGTTTCAGGCAGTACCATATTTTGAAACTTATTTTTATTCGATTTAACAATTAATAAAATACAACTTTCCGGATTACACACAGAAAACAGGTTAGGTTTTTTAAAATTTTTATTAGGCGGTAATCCTAACCAGTGTTGCCAGTAGAACAGTATTTTCATTATACAATAGCGGTGGTAGCGCCACCAACATCACAAAACACGTAAGGAAAACAAATAAATATGTTGAATATGCATTAATAGATAAATTAAAATATTTGATTTACTCACGTAAAATCATCTCAGTTAAAGTTGTCACTAGACTTCTGATCACTTTATCTATCCTGAGTTTTTATTTTCGTTTACTTCTTCTGGAGCTTAGAAAGGTACATATCTTCGAGCATATTTCTACTCTACTGGCACTCAACAGTAATTGCTTATTATTCCGTCATTATGAACACCTTATTCTTATAGTTATGTAAATGATTATTACAATAAGTGAATTAAACAATTATAATTCGAAGTTTGTGAGTTCAATTTCTAACGGCAATTCTGGACAATCACGAAGTGGGCTAGGAGGAGTCCTTGAAGTCATCAGTGAGTCCAAGCCTGTATAGAAAAAGTACCGTTCAGTAAACTTATGAAGATGGAATGAAAATACACTATCCCAAAAGATCGAGTGGGAGATATTTAGTGTTGAATGAACCCATTTTTTTGACATACATTTCACTATAGCGTCTGAACCATCCGGTATAAATCCAAACAACTATATATTTTTGAGGGGCACTATGTCCAAGAAATTCAATGGAAGGAACATATTTAGAGTACTCTGTTTGAAAAAAACATAAGTTCGGTCTGTCACATATTTATTGGACACCCTGTATGATAATGATAATCATTGAAACATAGCTTTCAATAATCTCTACAACTTCTTCTTGAAACATTTTTTTGTATCTCTAAAAGAGAAACAGCTGTCGTTCACCCACCTATTCTAACTCAGCTTCTACTTGTTCCTGTTTCAATTATAGAATCCTAATTACATTGTCTAACTCCTGTTTCTTTATCAATATTTCAGATCCGAGCCTTTCCATCTTCAAATGCAAAACATCTCTTTCTTATTCCTTCCGAAACTACTACTTCATATGATCTCTGAATTATACGAAAATCCCTTTTTTTCCATAAAGTTTGTACTAAACCGATATTATTTATAGGAACATTATTGAAAATGCACTCGAACGTGAAACACCATCATCCTGAATGGTGTACTTCAAAGTTTTGCCTCAGCACCGTTTTGGGAAACATCACAATACGAAGCACTAGTTCATTTCACAACATTAGGACTTTTTATCTCCAGAAAAAAAAGAATCTGCTCCAGTCAAAATGACAGTATGTAAATACATTCATATGGTTAGTTATCCTAGCCATTTCAGTTTCAGTCGAAATGAATAGGAAATATTTTCAGTTTTTTTTTCAGTTTGTATATGAAAGAAATTTCTGTGTATGCTCTACATAGTCTACTTATATTTGAAAGTGTTTTGTTTGATGATGGAGAAGTGGAAAGGCAAGATCTCTTCTAATTTCCTTTTCAATTCTAAACATGATTTCTTCTCTAAATTTTTCATTGTTTTTCACACTTTGATTAGCTGTTCATTCAATTTGTAATTGCATTCCTCCAACTAATACTGTGATCTTTTTGTTTAGTTGCGTTTTATTACTATTACTAATACCCTGTACATCCAATCTCCGATTTTTCATGTCAATCTCATTTCCAAAAGGCTAATTTTTTATAAGAATGACTTTTTGTCATGACATTAACAGTAGAGATGTTTCTCCTCTTAGCCTCTCCATCCGTGTACACACTGTTTTTTTTTATAATTAATATAATTCAATTATTATTTGTGAATATAGTTTTCAAATACTAGCAATACACTTGAAATTAATTTTTCCTCATCTGTATAATTTGTATAATTTCCTTACGCCACTGCAAGAGACTGAGTTGAACCTCAAAACGATGAGCAGCTACAGTCCGTCGCGTATTTCTGATTTGTACCGCTCTTGGTGAAATTAAATGTGCCAAGTGACAAGACACTTCCCGTGAAAGAATCTATAGAAGAGAGAAAAATCTCCAACTCTTCCAGGCTATCAAAGTTGCACGTGATGTTCGCGTCTCCAATCAAACGAATGATTCTTTTCTGGATGGAATCCAGCAATTTCAGGGTATGTTTAGGAGCAGAACTCCATACATAAGAACAATACCCCAAAGAAGATCTGATCTGAGCTTTATAAAGCATCAAAAGGTGCTGAGGTGTGTACAGTTTAAGATATATGCAACCTACTGCTGCCGGTGAAGATGTGCCTCAGCTGCCGATGTCCTGGAATCCAAATGGAATGACGAGACAAGTGTGCTGTCGTCAGCAAAACAATATATTGGATTCTTGATTTCTTGCAATAAGTCGTTGATATACAATAAAAAGAGGGTTGGAGACAATATGGATCCCCGGGGAACACCAGCGTTGATGGTGAAAGTATTCGAGAGATATTCATCGACGGCCACTTGCAGGTAACGCTTTTTCGGGAAACTGAAGAGTCGTACACAAAAATGATCTGACAAGCCATAGCATCGAAGTTTGGCCAGCAAACTCTCAGGCCGCACACAGTCAAAGGCCTTAGAAATATCAAGCTCATGAGCTCTTGATTCTCCATGTTTCTCGATTGCGTTATTTCAAATATGAGTGACATACGATAGAAGGTCGCCTGTTGATCTTTGTTTGCAAAAGCCATATTTATGATGGCTCAATGTGTTGAAGCCTTCCAAATATTTGAGGATATTGTGGTTTACGACTTTCTTCATGGTTTTGGATTTTACTGATAGCAAAGCGACAGGTCTGTAGTTATTTGGAAGATTTTTCTTGCCCTTTTTGGGAATAGGCTGAAGGCGAGCAATCTTTCAACAAGAAGGAAAAACCCCTTTCTTGTAAGACACGTTGAAAAGTCTGCAAAAACTATAGTTTTCAATAAAATGGGAATGTTCCTCCTGACGAAAATCAAGTAGTTTTCATAAAAGAGCTCTGAAACAACGCATTTCAAACTCATTTCAACCTTTTTCTTTAAAAAATTTTCAAATACTTAAAAAAGAGGAATGAAATACTGCATTAACATTTAAAGGGATCCGTTTCTATATCACCATTTGGCAACTTCGGTTATAGCTAATAAAGGAGAATGAATCTGTTATCTGTATGAGACAAACAAAGATGAAATATTTCAGAGGCGTGCTGTTCTGTTTACTTATGTTCCGAGTTCCCAGACATTCTGTGACATATGACATTTTGGGCACCTAACCTTCCAACGCCGCGCCGCTTGACTGTCCAAGAATATTTTCATTGACTTGTGTATGAGGTTGGATTCTTCCAATCTCTCCACACACAATTCAATCGCGTAAATTTCCGCTTGAAATACAGTCGCATAGGTTCCTAGGGGGGGTTGATATCTCTGTCCTGGGTCTGCGACTGAAAACACCTGCACCAGGACCGGAAGGTGTTTGATCCATCTGTGAACCAACAACTATCTGCTCTTAATATTTCCTTCTCCCGGAGGATCCAGTCCTCTCTACTCAGAACCAGTACTTTATAAGGCTTCCAGAATGCTGTGACTTTCAGTGTCGAATAACAGTCTGTTTGCAATGGGGAATGTTCCTCCTGACGAAAATCAAGTAGTTTTCATAAAAGAGCTCTAAAACAACGCATTTTGAACTCATCATTTCAACCTTTTTCTTTAAAAAATTATTTAAATGCTTAAAAAAAAGAGGAATGAAATAATGCAATCAACATTTAAAGGGATCCGTTTCTATATCACCATTTGGCAACTTCGGTTATAGCTAATAAAGGAGAATGAATCTGTTATCTGTATGAGACAAACAAAGATGAAATATTTCAGAGGCGTGCTGTTCTGTTTACTTATGTTCCGAGTTCCCAGACATTCTGTGACATATGACATTTTGGGCACCTAACCTATTTTCCTCTATATAAATAAATAACAAAACCACTATTGTTTATGTGGCTTGTGAAGGTGGTATTGAACTATAATTTATATTTTGCCTTAATTGTTGATTAATAAAGATAATTTTCCTTTTTTAAAGTAGAATATCTAGATACCTATAAATTATTTCAACTTGATATAGGCGCTGTTGCCAATATGTGAATTAGAAACAAATCCCTTTAAAAATCAAAACCCAACATTTGAAACATCAATTTGAATACTTTCAAAAGTGAATTTGAAAAACTCATGAATTAAACTCAACTTTATTTTGTTCAAACTTGCATTTGCTGTAATAACCCAAATCGAGGAACATTCCCCATTATATATAGAAAAAACCTATCAATAGGAAAAACTGTTGATGAGTTAGATAATCAAAATTATAGATCTTTATATTTTGGACAAACAACGGAAAAAGTGGCTTCGTTTTTGAGGAAACAAGATATTAAAATTGCATATAGAACAAGTAATACGTTGGGAAAGTTAGTTAAAAATAACAAATATAAAACATCCAAATTCGAGAAATCAGGAGTATATAAATTAAAGTGTGGAACGTGTCCTAAGGTGTATATTGGACAAACTGGCAGAACATTTAGGAATAGAATCCAAGAACATCATATGAACTATGTAAACAAGAAAACAAGTTCAACATATTCAAATCACCTTTTAGAAGAAAATCATATCTTTAACAAATAGTTCGAAATTTTACACATAGAAAATAAAGGTTTGAAAATGAATCATTTGGAAGCAATGGAAACTAATAAACTTAAAAATTCAAACATTCTAATGAATGACCAACTGAATTTGAATAGATCACCATTATTGAACTTGTTTTCTTAGAAAAACCGAAAAAAAATTGTTATTGATGTAGAAATGAGGTGATCATAAGGTTTGTTCTGGTTCTACGATATTCGGGTTCTAGGACGTCAGGATCATGCGCAGTTGATAGCGTTCTGGTTTATTGAGGATAAGTTCGGATTGATGAATCTTCTGTTCTGGTTTCGACTGCAAAATGATGCTAAACTATCTTGAACCGTCCCGAATCGTTCTTGCTTTCGAGGCTGAACGGCTGAACTATTGAGAACTGTTCCCGTTGCTCATGCGCATTCATATGGAAATTAGTTTGGGCCATTTACTAGGATGTTCTTTTATTTATCTGATTTGAATAATAATTGAGGTCAGATAACATTTCAACTGACTACAAGGATACGCTACATAACAAAATGGATAGGATCAACAGTATTTTCTCGTCTTCATTTTTCATATATACGATAGGTGGCACAGTGTCTCCTCAAAATGAGTTCTAGTTTGACTAAGTGTCCGAGACTATTTCGGACTGTTTAAGATTTTTTGCTTGTACGCATCATGTCTTGCGCAGTTTCCAAACAGTTTTGGTTGTTAGAACCGGAACAAACCTATTATTGACGAGGTACCTCAGGTAGAGGTTCAGGTAATTTGTTGGTGGTAGTCTCAATTATGGTTACCTGTAGTATATGAATATTACTGTCAGAAGTAACTTGTAGTATTCAAATCACTGTTGATAAAGCTACTGTGTTAGCGAAACATGTGATATATTTTTCAAATAACGTTTGTGGAGATCAAATCGTGAGTTGTAGTTTATGAAAAAAGCATTGACATAATTCACATTTCAAATTTCATAGGTCAGTATTATACTAAAGCTAATGATTTGTGAAAGAGAAATTAGTATGAAAGAAAAGGATAACAGCCAGTGTTGTTATCACTTCACAATATTGAGAAACACATATTTTTGTTGCAGAAAAAACATTTGTTGATTTTGGTGGCGATAGTAATAGGTTATTTATTGAAATTCTACGGGATTTTAACAGCAAGTAAAAGCCAATTTGGTGTGACATCATTCAAGAATAATTGAGTGAATTATTATATTTCCAGTCTGATATAATATAATAATATTCATACTACAGAGTAATTATGAAACTATGAGAGATTTTGTTTTTTTCACGGAACAAACCCAACAGATTCGTTCAAGAGCGCCACCACCCACTCTGCAGGGGATGAGAGTGTTTTTCCCATAGAACGATTTTTCATGCCGTTCTACATACTTTTACATATTTTTATCTCGACACTGGATACGCATCAGATGAAAAATAATCATTATATTTGTTTTTTCAGTATCCAACGTAGGGGTTGCGAATATTTTTGTTCTCTTAAAACTATTTTTCATACCATTCTACTAACTTCTTACTAACTTTTTTCTTGACAATCGATGCTCATCAGACAATAATGATTATATTTCGAGCATGCATCCCGTAGGGGTAAATGGATCGAAACTAGTTAATGGTTCAGTAAGTTAGCTCATTAATGGAAGAGAAAAGAAAAAGAAATCATAAAGCATTCACATGAGACTTCACAGCACAGGCGAAATTAGTTGGGAGTGAGATGCATTTCTAAATTGTTATCTTACGTGAATCCAAATATTCCGTTATGGAGTTGCATGATACATATATTCAATATCCTACATATTGGCGGCTCAATTGTCTTCTCCCCATCCTTATAATGCTTTCTTTTCATAATTTTCCTTGCTACCGCTAATATAGTTTACATGATAAAATATTTCCAATTCCCTATCACGAAACGAATCTCTTCAAAGGGAACAACATAACTACCAGAATTTTCTCATACTCGCCGAGCAACAATTTACCAATCACATACATCATACACAACCTACACCATTCTGGACGATTACCCTCTTTCTTTTCAACATGTGCAACTGAAAAAACATCCATCCAAGAAACAGGTCAATATATTGTTGACAAAGATATAAAACGCGCAGTCATCTTTGGCGACTCAAAAAGTGCCCTGGCATTCCAACATCAAGGGTAACGATACAGTTGATTACTTAGCCAATGTTGGAAGAATTCATCCATTCTCTAATCATCCTAAAGCAGACTATAGAGGTTTCAAGCATTATTGAAACATAATATCCGGATAGACTGGAGCGACCAATATAGCGGACAATTCAAAGCCAAACTTTGCTTCTCCTCTGTACCACACCCTTATTAAACTCCATGGTTCAAGGATCTGGCTAGCCGGATGGTATACGGTCGTTTCGACGTGGGTGCTTTGTTCACTCACTCAAATCGACCGCCGTGTTGGTCGCTGGTACAAGCCCCAGTCTGAACGATCGGTTTTCACTTGCTATCGTCCAATCCGTGTTAGGAATCACACGTTAAAAGGTAAGAACTCGTTAGTCCGTGGCTCGCACAACTTTTGACTTCTGAGGGTTATCGTTCTGTAGGGGTGCGGCAACTGGTTAACGGAAGAACAGATTTTAAACAGATTTTTTTTAACATTTGTCTTGTAAAGAAATCGTCAATATGTGCAGAATTAGGAGCACTCTTTCCCTCAGTAAAGCATATCTCAAAAAACTCAAAAAAGTTTATGACGACCGCGGCGAATGTGGGGAAATACAGACTCTCCTACATATATTCTTTGCCTGCTCTAACAATTTTCACAATATACAAATGCTTCATGCCTCTCTCATTATCCCTCTTTCAACAATTCAGCCTCTTACCTTCCACGATATCTTTTTCAAACATTTATCACCATCTAACATACACACTATATCCCAATTCCTAATTGCATCCAATATAAAGGTCTAGTGACCAAGACAGACCTAATACTTGTGCGCATGCAGTGCTTCGCCGACCATGACCTGAATGTAGTGCCCATAACCGTAACCCTAATGCATCACCTCACAGTAGTACTTATACTCTAGTGCAATCGGACATTGCTTGTTAATTAACTTCAAATCACAGTTGAAGTTTGTTTTAGCGTAAATCCAGGTGGGATTTGGGTTCAACTCAGACCCACTTCAGTGTGGGCACCACCTGTACTATCAACATGAATCTGTAACTCCTAGCTGGATAGCCCTGGCAGCTGAAGCCATTAATGGAAAAAGGAGAAGAATAAGAAGAAGCGTATTACTTAGCTTTGACATTGACAATTTGTCAGAAATTGGTTTGGTACAATTTTTGCATAGAATTGAATGATTGAATCGCTGTTAATTTTTATTTTCAAATTATAGGGTTTTGCTTAGTGTTGTTGCTTGTTGTTATTGTTGAAAGTAAATCTACTGTTTCCATCATGCCAAGAATAATGATTAAAGGAGGTGTTTGGAGAAACACGGAGGTAAGATTCTTTTCTTTAAATACCTACTAAGTCCCTGAACGAAAATAATTTTTTGTGGGGTATAAGCAGTTTTTTTATCGACCTCCTTTGGGTATTTTCACCTTCCACAATGATATGAAAATTATAATGGAAAACTTTATACAAGTGTAGAAAGGGCAAAATTTTTAGTTAACCCTGACAAGTTACTGCGTAAATTCAAAGTATTTTTTACAATGAAAAATGTTCTATTCATCACTATCTTGTTACATTCAATTGCCTATCAAAAAAATAGCTAAGAAATAATACAATACTTATCTCCTCAAATAAAAAAAAAATAATTTTCAGGATGAAATCCTCAAAGCTGCTGTTATGAAGTATGGCAAAAACCAGTGGTCTAGAATAGCCTCACTTCTGCATAGAAAATCTGCTAAACAATGTAAAGCCCGTTGGTTTGAGTGGCTTGATCCAAGTATTAAGAAAACGGAATGGTCTCGAGAGGAAGACGAAAAACTCTTACATTTGGCCAAGCTTATGCCAACACAATGGAGAACTATTGCTCCGATTATTGGAAGAACAGCAGCTCAGTGCTTGGAAAGATACGAGTTTTTACTGTAAGTGTCTTTGTGTTAGTGTTGAATCAAGAAATTAGAAATAAGAGAACCTCAGTTTTTATTGACATGTCTATCAGAATTTTAGAGTTGAACTGATATTCAAAGGTGGTGCCAAAGATGATCCAATAAGCAATAGATCTTGTTCCAACCGAAAATTATTGAAAAAGATTGATAAAAACGGTATTCATTAGCGCTTCCGCTTTAAATTTAATTAAAACGGTGTGTGTGAGATATCACAGTGTGTGTGGAATATAACATCGTTCAAATGTCCGCCACGGCTTCTCTAGGTTGAGCGCATCTGAAACGTTTTAATCAGCATACAGAAAATATGGGAAACTTCCAACGAAAGCTACACTCTGAACTTTATACCAACAAAACCCCTGGTCCTGATGGAATTCTCCCTACTTTTCTCAAATCATTTAGCTTCATTTTATCTCGGGCACTTTTCTTTATATTTAATAATTCTCTATCATCAAGCGAATTTCTGCACTACTGGAAATCCTCATATCTTACCTCAATATATAAATCTGACGTAAGTAATTATCGTCCCATTTCTATTCTGATTTCCATACCTACGACTGCTTCCCAATTAGTGGAACCCAACAATTCGAGTTTATATAGACTGTCTATTGGGGGTGAACATACCCGATAGAAGTAATCAATCCCACTAAGACTTTCATTCAAAAAACCTAAGCCGACGTTATTTACTATCAACCCCCCTGAACTACTTAAAACCTTCATTAAAATTCATTTGTTTCCTTTTTCGATCCTATTATAATGACGTTTCTATCAAAAAAAGGCCGTAAAGTGCATACTTAGTCCTTCAAAGAACTCGTTCAGATACTGAATAGAATTTCTCATTCGGGACATTCTAGACATTTTATTGTGGATGTCAATTGAGCCCGGAATATAACACAATGGTTGCTATTGTCGATTTCAATACGAAATGAAATATTTCTAGTTTTTATGTTTTTCACATATAATCTATTCATTGAAACCTAAGGAAAAGTCGTGTTTTTTCAATAAGTACGAGTTTAAATCTGTTCGTTGATAATTACAATTTCATTTACCTATATTGCAGTTTATAAAACATCAATAGAACAAAAATATTCTTTTGATGACCTTGTTATCATTGTAAATAGTAATCACTATCTTTGAAAGTTATTTAAATTTATTCAGGCAGGCGATAAAATGTCATTTCTGCAGGTGTTTTAATGCACTTCCCCGTATTAGTACAGAATGAGCTTGCAGAGGTAGTTGTAGGTTTAAAATCTCCAATATCAAAGTAAATAATGAACGTATTGTAACATATACTTGTGATGCACTGTTTGGAACCGTTGGTGTGGTGGTGAGTGTTACTGGAGTTTTTTACCATCACAAAACCGTTGTTTTGGCACCTCATTACTACACCTAAGTTCCAATCAGTGCGTCACATGTTATCAGTCTGTTAGATTGTTCAAGTTGTAAACGTAAAATTGCAAACAAAAGTTTCTATTCCTTTTTTCTTAATACTTTCTTTGTCTTACACCGACCCAAACTTTACGTAGATATAATTTCTCCCACCGGCCATGACCCAGTCCGGTAGCTGTATAATGGAGTACTCAAGGTACAAACACATTTCTTAAGTAAAAATCCTAGAACACCATCTGGTCCAGAACTGAAACTGTTTTTGAGCTCAAAACGTCAACTAAATTAACATGACATTTGTTAAGATTGAGTGCATTCTTCTATTTAAAATTATTAACGGACCAGCCCCGAGATTCTCTCCAAATCATTTCTACTTGTCCCCAGTCGTTCAACTAAGCAGTTGCAAACCTTTTTAACGCACTTTTATTAGCTTCACCTGTATATAAGTATGTTTGTTTGTTTGTAACTCTCCTTTTCATTTCATATCAGGATCTGTATTTGACAGAATCATTGACATTTTTGCTTGATCTATTTGCGGGCAGATGGCGCTGTATGTAACCTCCTTGATATGAACTCACTACATGTATTTTTCATTTGAAAAAAGTATTTTTTTTATTAACCCGCGCGCCTGCTGCCTTATTTGTAACCCTTCTTTGCGCGCCTGCTGCCTTGGGCTTGGCTGCTGATTTTCAGGCTCCCTCTCTGGAATCGGAAAATATCAATGGTCATTTTTCTAAACAATATACGGCTGATTGATCCCAAAGTTTAGATAAAATAAATATAGTTCAAAAAGTCTAAAAAACACGCTTTTATAGCATACGAAATTAAATAATGAAAAATAAATATATTTTTCTTATTCGTCAGTGGGCTATGCTGAAGACTGGCAGTAAACAAATCTAAAAAAATTAACTTTGAACGTTCAAGCCAGGCTCGGATATACCTACACGGTAGGTTGAATGGACTGATGCCTAGCAACTACTCCCCTGGCTAATACCACGAACGACGTTGGATTATATCCGACAGGCGTCCGTGCAGGAATCTTCACAGAAAATTTCCTGCATATGCAATTGGCAATACAACTGAAAGAGTCGACCTTCAATTTTGGAACGGGCACACCTGCAGACCGGTTTCGGGCTCATTAGCCACTCGTCAGTGGCCATCATCGACCTAATTTCGGATATGCAGTTGGTTAGTACCTCGTCCACTAGATGGAGTGACATTTTGTTGTACACTCCAACTTAGGAAGAGGAATGAAATACTCTGAAAGAATTCCGATTTTCAATTATGGAATATCATTGACTTTAGGATAGGATTGTTCATTGATTTTTCACGTGCGTTTGATTGTGTTAATCACAGCCTCTTGCTGGAAGAACTCTCAAGATATGGGGTGAGAGGACTGCCACTCAATTTATTGACCTATCTTAAAAATAGGAAACAAATAGTGAAAATTGGGGAGAATCCGACTTCTGAAAAACAAATTGCTGATGGTGTGCCTCGGGGATTCATTTTGGGACCTTTTTTGCGTTTGCAAACGATCTATTAGTGTATCTAAGTGGAAATTCTGCCACTCACTGTATATGTTACGCTGGTGACACGAATATACTGGTTATTGAAGATGACCTAAACACTTATAAATACAGCTGAAAGCACTTTTAGTAGAGTTATCACTTGGTGTGAAAATAACAACTTGATAATGAATAAAAGAAAAACTAGTATGTTGCAATTCACGGTAGGACGACAACACCATGAGGTGAGTCTTTTCCAGAATTTCGAATTACAATTGGATCCCACAACAACAACTAAATTGTTAGGAGATACGTTCGATAACAACTTGCAATAGAAGCCACAAGTAGATAATTTGTGTAAAAAGCTCAAAAATCCTTGTTATTCTCTCAGGTATCTCTCCACTAACTGCAGTCAAGAGATTCTACTTACGCTTTATTATGCGAATTTTAATTCTCACCTCAGGTTATACCGATTTTTAAAAAGGGTAACAAAAATAATATCAGTAATTACCGACCCATCTCCCTAGTTCCTATTTTATCAAAATTGCTTGAATTGGCTCATAAAATCAGACTGATCAACTATTTAGAGAGAAAAAATGTACTGAACCCTAAACAACATGGATTTCGTGAGGGAAAGTCTACTATAACTGCACTTGTAGATATGATTATTCACATCACAGATGAATTTGAGAAAGAAAATGTGACACTAGCATCTTTTTTGGACCTTTCCAAAGCTTTTGATTGTGTGTCACATGAAATTCTTTTAATGAAATTGGAAAGTTATGGTGTCAGAGGAAATGCTTTTTCATTCATTCAGAGTTACCTTACAGGAAGATATCAGTGTACCTCCTCAAACGGAAAGGTATCATCCAAAAGGGAAATTACATTGGGGGTTCCCCAGGGTTCAATCTTAGGTCCCATACTATTTATTATTTATGTTAATGACATAACTCATTTCTTATCGTCAAAACATGTTGAATATGCTGATGATACCACATTACTAGTTTCAATGAGAAACTATGATCAGAATATTGAATCATACACCCTCAAAAGTGCTCAGGAATATTTCATGAATGTAAGATTGTGTCTAAATAATGATAAAACAAAAACGTTACTAATATATTTTATCTTTATACTTTATATTATTTTTAGTAATTGTTTGTGACGTGGATGTCCTATAGATAGTTAATTATCCTAGTCATTTCATATGTATACAGATTTTGTATATTATTTCTTTACTTGAATTTACTGACGTTTATCGCTTTTTCATTTGCATTATCTCAATGTTGATGTGCAAACTAATTTGTGGAAATAAATAAATTACCTTGTATGTAGATGAATATCATTATCATATCATATAACTCTTTCATACACTACCTACGTTATGTTCCAAGCACTCATTTTTGTAGGGATCAAGCCCAAAAGAAAGAGGAAGGTGAAGAAGTTGACGATCCTCGGAAATTGAAACCTGGAGAAATAGATCCAAACCCAGAAACAAAACCAGCACGTCCTGACCCGAAAGATATGGACGAAGACGAACTGGAGATGTTGTCTGAAGCCCGAGCTCGTCTAGCAAACACCCAAGGCAAAAAGGCGAAAAGGAAAGCTCGTGAAAAGCAACTAGAGGAAGCCAGACGCTTGGCAGCTTTACAGAAAAGAAGGGAATTGCGGGCGGCGGGTATAGAAGTTACTTCCAGGAGAAAGAGGAAGCGTGGGGTAGATTACAATGCTGAGATTCCATTCGAAAAGAGACCGGCTATAGGATTTTATGATACGTCTAATGAGGAGTTAGATCCCATGGCACCGGACTTTTCAAAAATGAGGCAGCAACATTTAGATGGAGAATTGAGGAGTGAAATTGAAGAGGTAATTTATTAATTTTCGAATATATAGTATATTCAATTCACTGCTATTGTGACAAATAACCTTGTCCCAGTTGAATATCTTATACCCAGATGAATATCTTATTTATTAACACTAAATACATTTTCTCCCATGAGAAAATGAATGTTTTGTTCTGAATACTGCCAAATTGTCTTTCCATTATATTTCTAACTAGGATAAAAAGTGGTTGGCTTGTTCTAGGACATTTGTGCAAGAAGCATAGTTAATTGTGCTAATTGACATTGTTTTTGAGCACCAATATACAGGGCTATTCAAATTCGGTTCTGTACATGGGGATCTCGTAAATGATAAGAGATACAGTGTTGGTTAAATTGTGGCAAAGTTGTGTATTTTAGAGACCTATTCAATGATGTAAAGAAATCAAATATAGCTCTTTTGTTTCTGGAGATCTACAGGAAAAACCAAAAAATCCCAAATTATCTTTTTGCCTATATCTTCTTTATTCGCAGACATGTTGAAAATCTGTCCACATTTTGTAATTGGCACTTGATGTGGGCTCTCAGAATATATACATGAATCTTTTATACAGGGTGTCATCTGACTTGGGCCACCCCCATCTTTGAATTTTTAAATACGGACCTGCATTTTTTTGTCGTAGTTTTTGGGTCATAGACGTTCACGTCATACTGAGAAATCATATTTTATTTTATATTTCGGGATGTTTCGGTAATATTTGTATACAATTGTGGAAATTGGTTCAAATATTACCGAAACACCCCGAAATTCAAAATTAAATTCAATTTCTCAGTATGAAGTGAACGTCGACGATACAAAAACTACAACAAAAAATACTGGTCTTCATTAAAAAATTCAAAGATGGGGGTGGCACAAACCCTGTATAAAAGATTCATGGACATATTCTGATAGCCTACATCAAGTGCCAATCGCAAAATTTGGACAGAATTTTAATATGTCTGCGAATTAAGAAGATATAGGCAAAAAAATAATTTGGGATTTTTTAGTTTCTTCTGTATATCTCTAGGACCAAGAGAGTTATATTCGATTTTTTCACATCATTGAATAGTTCTACAAAATACACAACTTTGCCACAATTTAACCGACACTCTGTCTCTTATCGTTTACGAGAAAATTGTACAGAAAATTGAGAATTTTCAAAGACTGTTCATGACCTCAAATTATTTTCAATAGGTTTGAATGATAATGATATTAGTTTACTTCAAAGGGATTTAGATAATCTGTCTGATTGATGTAAGTTCAACTTGTTAGTTCTAAATTTAAAAAAAGCTTCAAGATTTCTTTTAGTACACGGAAAATTAAGATCCCATCGTCTTCATTTGCTGAAAGACAATGATCTGGTTAATGATTTGGGAATATTTCTTGATTCTCAATTCAGTTTTAGCGAGCTTAATAATCAATTAGTGGGATTTGCTTTAAGGAATTGAAAGGATCTGTCTCTGGAAACCGTGAGGTCAGTGTATATTGGGTTGGTCAGATCACAATTTGAATATTGTCCAATTATTTGGTCACCACAATATAACGTTAATAAGTTAATAAGTAAATTCTTGAGATATTGTGATTATAGGTTAGATCTAAATCTCGTTGCTGATCATGACTATGTAATCTGATCAAACTAGACATTGAAAGGTACATAAATTTACAACAAGCTACAAACGCGTGTATATTTATATATAATAATAATATTTTGAAATTCCGAATGATTGCGATGCCTGAAAAAAAATTTATTCGGGGTCAAAGGTCAAAAATCTCGAAAAAAATTATTTTTCGCGATTTTCAGGAAAACGGTAAGTGTTATCATAAAATAACCTCAGATAAAAATTGTAGATCATAAAATTCTCTACAAAAAATGTATCAATACTTTTTTTCTTAGAGCCACCTTTTCTGAGATGCGACGAGTCAAAAAGTTGTACAAGTTGTAATCGTCATTATATGCACACGTTTCCACGCCACCTATGAGGTAGTGTACTTAGCGCGTTTTTTTTAACGTGTTTTTCCCAGTAGGCCTATTCCACATGTCTTGTGATTCTGTCAAATTGAAAATTTGCATAATAAAATATATTAGGAAGGGTTGGAAATTATAAAAGTGATTGAAATTAAAAAGATGTAAAAATTTATTCATCTGGGTCATAACCTTCAAATACTTCTTGTAGTTTTTCTTCTTGGTCTTCTTCTTCTTCTTATTCTTGATCTTCTTCTTCTTGATGTTCATCCTGAGTGTAGGTAAACTGTGTCAAGAGTGATGTATCGCATGTTTCCTCGTTGGTATGTGGTTCATTTGAATAAATCCCCCACTATTGGTGATTCAGCATTAGAATATGACTGGCCTCGACAATGTGTACACTCCAGAGAACACAACATTCCAACAACACATTTAGCGCTGCATCCCTTTTTACAGCTGCAAAAAAAATGTGTGCAGCAGTTTTTTCGGCGCAGGTGGGAGTAAAGTCTGAATAGGTTCTAATGCGTTGTCGACCAACTTCCAACCCCAGTCTTTTGGGTCTAGCTGATAACCAAGCCACACTTGAACTTGGTAATATACCCGGAAAATATGTTGATGAGCAGCAACTGAGGTTGGAGGAAGACAAGCTAATTGCACATGTTTCTTATTTTTAGCGTTATTTACGAAACATGCATATCGATACTTAACTAAGCAGGTGGTTTTTTTCGGAGCTTTGTACATAGAAAGAAGAAACTGAATCCCGTTGATGATAATTTCTTGTTGAGTCGAATTACTTTTTTTTGAAAACTTGAGCACATTGAACTAAATCTGGTTTTTTCAAACATTTTAAAGACTGTTGCTTTACCCCTCCTGTAAAATGCAGACGTCGTGTCACAGCCAGTTATTGCCTGTGAAAATAGTACATGATTTTGACTCTTTGCAAAAGTAGATAAACTTTTTGACGAATATATTTCAGTTTGACTTTGAGCTTTTCCTGGCTTTAGAAAGAAAATAGTTTTTTCAGGTGGGGTTCGAGCCGTAAGAAGTACGAGTAAGTCTACATCTTCACTAACAACAATAGTTGTATTAGTCAAATAAAATGATATTCGGACATTTTTTTTATAAAACTCGAAACAGCACGAAATAGGTTAGGTTAAACACCTATTTTCACTACAGCGTGGCGCTCAAGACTAATGGTATTTTATTTATTGGACATTCTGACACAAAGCAGGTATACGACCCTAGCCACGCACACAATTGAACAGGAAGACAGGTGTTGGGACTGGATTTCATTCTACCTGATATTCTTATATTTATACTTATGTATACCAATAGAAAAATATTTTTACTTAAATTACAACTTCAGAGATGTATATACGTGGCATACTTATGCATAATAATAATATTTATTTGACTACGTTACATAATACAATATGTTTGTAGCAAGTCATGTTTGGCTTTACATTTGAAATTTACAAGTTAAAATTTACACAACATTCACAAATTAAAATTTACACAGCAATCACATATGTAAAAACTTTGAAAATCAAAAAGAAGTAGTGACTTGTATGTTATAATGACGATTACAACTTTTTGACTCGTCGTATCTCAGAAACAGTGGCTCTAAGAAAAAAAAGTATTAGTACATTTTTTGTAGAGAATTTTATGATCTACAATTTTTATCTGGGGTTATTTTATGAAAAAACTTACCGTTTTCCTGAAAATCGTGAAAAACCAATTTTTTTCGAGTTTTTTGACCTTTGACCTCGAATACATTTTTTTCCAGGCATCGCAATCAGTCGGAATTTTAAAATCTTTTTTTTAACTATGTTTTGAACAATTACACACATTTGCAGCTTGTTGTAAATTAATGTACCTTCCCTCTTATTTTTAGTCTAATTTGACCGGACTAATGGCCTTATTCTCCATAAATTAAAGCTGCTTGCAGTGGATAAAAGGAGGATTATGTTTGACATTTCTCTCATTTATAAAATATTAAATGGTATTGTATTATGCCCATTTTTGCTGTCTCGAATAAATCTTGCAGTTTCACAAAGAATGCTAAAACATAATAATTTATTTTCCATTGGTTTTCAAAGAACAAACTATAGTATATTTTCTTTTACGGTTAGATCTCTGGAGTTTTTAAATATAGAGGATAGATTGGATGTTTTTAATAATTTTTTTCAAGCCTTTGAGAATATTTACTAAGACTGATAGACTAGACTGTTGCTACATACGTTATTTTAGAACAGTATGGTCATTATTTTGTGATTTATTGTTAAGTAATTTGAATATAATTTAAATGAATATTTTCGAAGATATTACAGATTTAAAATGTAGGAACATAGTGATTGCAGCGGTACTGGCTCTTCAGTTAGTTGGGAAGCTGATTCATTTACAATAGTAAATACATTGTCACAGTATAAATAAAGATGATAGATAGATAGATAGATAGATAGGTAGATAGCACTTTATTTCCAACAGGTGTACACCCAATTACAGGAGATGTTAAAAGAAATATACTGAAAAAAAAACATTCAATTCAATTAAATTCACATATTACATATTCAATTGACAAATTACAAATGATATTCATGATATAAATGAAATAATATAATTAGGTTCTATTGACATATTATAAATGAATTAGCCTTCACAATGTTGACATAATACAATTGAAAATTATGTAAAAAAACAATAAATAAAAGGTTCAATGTAAGATACAATCCTTGATTAAGTTCAATGAGTTTCCATTAATGTCACACATGTTACATACTAAATTGAAATTAAATAAATAAAATTAAATTTACATGAAAAAATAGTCTGAATAAAAATACATATGTATAAACAAAAAGTTACATAAAAAAGTCATAGACAGGAATATACTATATTTTCATTTTCTAATTAGTATCAGCATTGCACCCGTGCGGAGCCGGGCGGGCCGATAGTCTTGAAAATATAGAGAAACCCTCAATAGAATAAAATAAAAAATGTAAGCCGTATTAAACTCTCCTTCAATCAAAAAGTATGTGAATGGTGTTACAAATACTACTGTCATTAATAAGTATTACCAAGTGTATATGTTTAACGTATATTTATTTATTTTTTCAGAAAGAACGGAGAAAGGATAAGCAGAAATTGAAACAACGTAAAGAAAATGATTTTCCGCAAGCCATGTTGGAAAACCGTGAACCAGCCAAAAAGAGATCCAAGTTGGTTTTACCAGAACCTCAAATTTCTGATCAAGAAATGCACCAGGTGGTTAAATTGGGCAAAGCCAGTGAAGTAGCGCGGGAGGTTGCTTTAGAGAGTGGAGTTGAGACAACAGACACTCTATTGAGTGACTATACTTTTACTCCACAAGCTACTGCCACTCCAAGAACTCCAGCTCCTCAAACTGACAGGTAATACAAATAAAATGTAGTTTTGTCTTTTTACACTCTTTATATTAGCTTCACCTGTATGTTTGTATGTATGTATGTATGTTTGTATGAATGTATGTTTGTATGTATGTATGTATGTATGTTTGTAACTCTCAACATTGTCCTCTCAAGCTCGGGATCTGTATTGACAGAATTATCGACATTATTGCTTGATCTATTCGCAGTCAGATGACGCTGTACGTAACCTCCTTGATATTTCTTGATCTATTCGCGGGCAGATGGCGCTGTACGCACAAACATTCATTTAATAAATAGCTTTGCTATTTATTAAATGATTGTTTGCATATTAAATGAATGTGTCAAAAATAGCAAAGCTATTTATTAAATGAATATTTGCGTATTAAATGAATGTGTCATTTAATAAATAGCAAAGCTATTTATTAAATGAATGTTTGCACACCATAATAAACTTTGACATTTTTTAGCATAAACGTCCTCATAACGTTTTGATGTACAAGTGCTATTTGTTTTGTTTATAGTGAGTTGAGAAAATCAATTTGACCACAAAATAGACATTTCGAAATAGAAGGTTTTTGTTGGATTGTTTTTCACAACACACAAGGTTCACATTTGGGACCACTGTTGTTTAACCTTTTTATCAACTATCTAATCAGCTGTTTCCATGAAAGCGAAGCTTTGCTATTTGCCGCCGATTTAAAATATTTTTAAATAATTAAAAGTGAAGCTGATACATTGTGTCTACAAAACGATATAGATTGCCTATCTAACTGGTGTTCCCAAAATGGTATGTGTTTGAATGCATCCAAATGCCAAATTCTTCGCTTTCAACCACCCAATCACTTCCAAATATAGTATAAATAATCGGACCTTTCTTTCTGATATTGAAACCAAAGATCTAGGTTTGATCCTAGACTTCACAGTTAGCTATAAATCACACATTTCCGCTGTAATTCAAAATTCTATGAAGATACTTGGCTTTATGAAGAGAACCACTCGTGATTTTACAACATATTGTAACGAATTAAAGAATTAACTGTCTTAAGCAAATCAATTTTTAACAATATTCCACTATCACAACTAATTTATATACAACACTTAGCAACTAACGCTTAATTTATCTTCACAGTTCGAATTCTTTATTTAAACGCACGATTCACTTTCTAGATACAGACTGCCATTTCGGGACGGGAAGCGGGCCTTATAAATCGGTAACGACCTTGCTAGATTTCTCTAGTTGTTTCGGCACTGGCCTAGACTTTTCGCGGTGGCTTGTCGATCGCATTCCTTTCGCGGTGAGTCACATGTTGCTGACTGAGACATCGGTCAGGGCCGGTTTCAGATTCGTTACAATATTTTTCCCTGATTAGATCTTATCTAGATTATTGCTCCACAGTTTGGTCCCCTCATTACGTTACAGAAAAAGTGAAACTAGAGGCAGTACAGCACAATTTCCTGCGATATATTGCCTTCAAGATGCGTGTATACTAAGACTATACTGCATTGGAATGCATTTTGAACATACCTTATCTTGAGGCTCGCAGGAAACAGAGATTTAATACGTCTTTTCAAAATTATCAACGGACTGAGTATCAGCCCTGAGCTTCTCTCCAAAATATCTTTACATGTCCCCAGTCGTTCAACTAGACAGGTGCAAACTTTTACGTTTCTTTTCACAGATTCAATTAATCATACAGTGAATTTCTTCAATGCCCCCCCCCCTTTTAATCCACTGGTTGACTTACTAATACCCCAACCAATGGGCACTTGTGACACAACATGCTTTGGTTGATGCCAGTCACAAGAACAGTTAGACATTCCTTGTTATTACCAGATCTGTCATGAAATGACTTACTTCCTTTCTTAGCAAGTATCTTACTGTCTTTTGGCGACAAAAAAATTAGATTAATCCGTGTTTAATTAAAGTATTCAATCAAATTAGTGTAGTTCCAATTGGCGTAGTTCTTGGGACATTATATTGTTTTGCTGCAGCTGAACGAGTTGTGCCATTTTTTATGGAATCCAAAACATGTCTTAGATCGTTGCTATTCTTATATTTTTTTTGTTGACATTCTGCAATCAAAGCAAAAACAATAAATGATTATATCTTAACGTGAAAATAATAGAGGATACTCGTTTACATAAACCAAACATAATTTAGACAGTTGAAATTCCGAACTCCGACACCTGTGTCGGAATTTGGATAAGATTAACGGAAAAACAGATTTTAAACAGATTTTTTAAACTCTGCTGTACAAAACGGTATATTCACACATCGGAAAAGTCTAGGGATATTTTTATAACATACTAAATATCATAAAAATAAATGCACGAGGTCGTTTAATTTCGATTAAATTGGTATACTCGACCACCCTGTAGATTTCTATGGGTTGAACAAAGCCTGCAAAAACGGTAACTAATCTTTTATATGTCAACTTTTTTTCCCTAAAGCGATCTAAAAAAAAATTATTGTCATTTTTAAAAATATCCCAAGACTTTTCCGATGTGTGTACTTATGTTGTTTAATGCGAATAGAAAGGAACAGAACCATATCTACCAAATATCAGATGTACCCATTTCCGACACCCACTGTCTAATTTGGGAAACACACAAATTTTATTGTACCTAATTCCGACACTATTTAAATTTTTCAATTCGTTAATTATACTAACATTAAACCCCATTTATATTAAAATTTGAAGACTTTATATTCAACCCCATGAAATTTATTCAGATTTACTCATTTAGTAGTGAATTGCGGTTAAGAAACTTAAAGTCGAAATCTGCTTATCTTATTAGAAAGTACTTTACAAATGAGCACAACACACAAATTTCAGTCGCCATCCAACTTTAAGGTGACATCCCGACTGTGACAGTGTCTCGGTAAGGTAGAATACGAATCTTGACCTAATTAATTAATGTGGGATTTTATCATCAGATGTTTTAACATGTATCTATATTTTGTAAATTTCTTATTTCAGTCATATAAACAGAAATGTGTCGGAATTTAGGACAATGTCTGAATTTGAGTCTTGTACCTTACGACTGATATATTCAATTGTAGTCCTAGAGTTTTGGGATATTCGAGTAGGGTTATTTACATGCATTATTGAATGTCAGAAGACTCGGTAGTTTTTGGGTATTTGCAGATTCTTATATGACACAGAAGCTCTGTTGCCACATCAGTCTTTCACATATTATTAAGTGACATATCTCGTTCCAGAATCCTCCAAGAGGCTCAGAACATCATGGCCCTAACTCATGTAGACACTCCCTTGAAGGGAGGTCTGAACACACCTCTACACAATTCGGATTTCAGTGGGGCATTGCCTCAAGACCAAACTGTTTCCACTCCAAACACACTCCTGGCGACCCCTTTTAGATCATCCAGAAGTGATGGCAGCGCTACCCCAAGCAGTACTGTTGGGTTCATGACTCCCAGAAGCGGTGCAGTTGTGCCAGTAGGTGGGCAGGGTGCTTATGTACCATCTGTCAGAGATAAATTGAATATAAACCCGGAAGACGGAACAGTTGACGTGACCACTACTCCAGCAACCCAGAAAATGTATCAAAATTCTGTGAGGAGTCACGTAAAAGTAGGTCTCAGTAGTTTACCGCAGCCAAAAAATGACTATGAAATTGTTGTTCCCGAGCATGAAGACCAGGAGATGCCAGAACAAGCCCAAGAGCAGTTGGTGAGTAGCAGTAATGTTGATAATATTATCTATAAATGCTATTTTTTTACTTTACTGTTAGTAGTTAGTGTGAATACTATTTGGCGAAAAGAATAATTGATTAAATCCATTTATTGCTTCTGAAAATACCACCTAAGAACCAATGCACGGGAAGGATGTTGGCTCTCATCTTTTATGAGCAAATGCAGAGGAGTGGAGCGTATTCTTTTTAATATTTATCGTCCTTCAAAGAAAGACATTATTTCACAAAATACTCCAACAAATAGGTCAACTATTTCAGCAGAGTGGCATTGATTGATTTGATTTAGCAGACATTTTTAAATGTTATTATATTTGTTTTGGAGATATTCAATGATAATAAATTAGCATCACACGAATTTTTAATCGTTTCTAAATCAGATATATTTTTATGTAGCTCTGCTGAGTTTATTTCCTTCCACAATATTGTTGTATCATCTGTGAAGAGAGTGAACCTGCCAGATATATCTAACATAGTCACGTTATTAATATATCTAAAGCAAATGGAACTTCAAACGTTCAAGCCAGTCTATATACCTACACAGTAGCTTTAATGGACTGACGCCTATCAGAAAACAACTACTCCCCTGGCTAATACCATGAAGGGCGTTGGATTATATCCGACAGGCGTCAGTGCAGGAATTTTCACAGAAAATATCCTGCATATGCAATTGGCAATACAACTGAAAGAGTCGACCTTCGATTTTAGAACAGGCACACTTGCAGACCGGTTTCGGGCTTATTAGCCACTCATCAGTGCAAGATAGTGACCGTCATCGACCTAAAGTCAATGATATTCCACAATTGAAAATCGGAATTCTTTCAGAGTATTTCATTCCTCTTCCGAAGTTGAAGCGAACATCACAAAATGTCATTCCATCTAGTGGACGAGGTACTAACCAACTGCAAATCCGTAATTAGCCCGATTCCTCTGAATAAGGAAGAAAAACTTTCTTATTAGTCAGTGGGCTATGTTTGAAGACTGGCAGTAAACAAATCTAAAGCAAATGGAACTTCAAACGTTCAAGCCAGTCTCTATATACCTACACAGTAGGTTCAATGGACTGACGCCTATCAGAAAACAACTACTCCCCTGGCTAATACCACGAAGGGCGTTGGATTATATCTGACAGGCGTCAGTGCAGTAATTTTCACAGAAAATGTCCTGCATATGCAATTGGCAATACAACTGAAAGAGTCGACCTTCAATTATGGAACGGACACACTTGCATACCGGTTTCGAGCTTATTAGCTACTCATCAGTGCAAGATAGTGACCATCATCGACCTAAAGTCAATGATATTCCACAACCAAACCTTTTACAGTGAAAATCATACAATAAACTGTATTAATTAGTTTTTTCTTTTAATATGTATGTATGTATGTATGGCTAACATTGAATGTAGTGGATGCCTGGCTATTCAATGTATGTGGGTATTCCTCAAACTCAAGCATCACATCTAATTTGGAATCATCACTCATTGCATTTTTTATCTGCCCCACATGACTAAGCTCGCGAAACTGCTTCTCTATTTTGCTTATTGTTCTTTGAGATATGAGTGGTAAATTAGGAAATTTCTCATGAAATAGGCGAGCTACTTCCTGTTGTGTTCGAGTTTCATCTCCTTAAACAATCATTGTAAAACTGTTATTTTATGCATTTCCGTTAATCTAACCAATTGTCAGACTTGAAGTTAACGAACTTTCAACTTAAATTAAAATACTGACAACTGATGTTGTAACATACAAAACAAGTTGACAAGGCGTTTTAAACTAACGTTGCCACGAAAATTATTCATTTTTTTAAAAGGATACCATCAAAAAAGAACATTGGTATGGTTTTTGCTTACTTTCTTATTATCAATACCTCGACATGAAATAAGTTTTGAGTATATTGCAATAAGTTTTGAATGTATTTTATCGAATTTCGGTAACCACATGATTTTAATTTAAAATAATATTGATAATAAATGTTATTTATTGGTGAATACCAAAGGGCCATCAATCAAAATCCTTCAGCCAGTGTAAAACTTTTAATATTTGCAGTGATTTTTTTATCTTAATTGTTGCTATAAACTTGAAAGCAATAACATTTTTGAATAGATAATTAAAATACTTTTCAAAAGATATATCACAAGCCTATACTTCTCATTTAATAAATTTGGGGCTGTAACTGTCATTCGACGGGGGTTGAAGGTAGGGGTGGTATTTTTACATTGAAGTATGTCAAATTATAACCGTAACCAAAATAATGAATTTATTCCATTTGGCTGTCCCCTGATTTGTGAATGGGTCTTTTTTTTGGTACCTTGGGAGCTGTCTGACTTGTCCATTTAGTTCAAGTCTCCAGAAAACACTGCAGCCTCTTTGGCTTATTGCGTTTATTCTCCCATCTTCTCATGACACCCATTTCATCAGTCTCGTTCCCTGTACTAGTTTGTACAGGTTCCGTGTTGGATGTTCGAGACTATTGTTCCTCTATCCTATATCTATTCAATCAGAATAAATTGTCTCAACTCCAAAAACTTCAGAATCGTGGTATGAGAATCATTTTGAAGTGCCGTAGAGATACTCCTATAAATATTATGCTCAATGTTTTAAATTGGCAATCCGTTTCCCAAAGACTGCTATACTTCACAATGATCTTCGTATACAAAATATTGAACAATTTAGGACCATCTTATTTTAATCAGTATATTGTCTTTCATCACGATATTCACCACCACTTCACTCGAAATAATAATAACTTATATATTAACAGAACAAAAAACAAAAATACTATGAACTCATTGTTTTTCAAGGGTTTTGATCGGTTCAACAAATTACCTAATGCAATTAAAAATAGCCTATCTCTGAACATGTTCAAAAATGAACTGAAGAAATTTGTTTTGAATGTACAAATATGATTATGTATTATGTCTTTGTTACCTGTAGCTGTAATTTGTATAATTCCATTCATCTAATGTTCGTTATTTATTTCAAATAATTATGTAATTTATCTTTCTACATGTTGCATTGAAATTTTTCGAATGTATAATGTTGCTGTTTTGGTAGTAATGTCTTTAAAAATATTTTATTGAACTTATGTTTGTCATACATTTAAGTCATTTCTATATGTAACACATACCTTTTTTTTTATTTCTACCATTCTAGTTGATTTGTATATTATTAGGATATCCTATTTAAATAAAGATCTATCTATCTATCTAAAGATGGATGTGTATAGTCCTAGCGGATAGCTGTAGTTTATCCGCTCGGTATATTCCAGCTCCCGTTCCATGTTTGGTCTTCGATCCATCTGTACCAGGTGTTTTTTCCAAACATGTTTTCAGGATGACTAATGGTCTTCCACTCTTCGCGGCTTATGATTTTGGCCGTGAAGTTTGTGTTAAAGGTGTACTTCGGTGTCATGTGGTCCGTGCACATATTCAATATGTGCTCCTTCACTTGTTCTGAAATTTTTGTTCGGTCCGATCTTTTATAGTTCGGTGAGTTTTCCAGTCTGAATTGGCCCATCCTGACCTCTCCCATTATCACAAGGTGTATAGGAGGTAGATTCAGGATTGTCTCCAATGCTGCTGTTGGGGTAGTTCTCATTGCCTCCGTCATTCCCAAACATGCAAGTCTTTTGCACCTTGCCTAATTTGTTGATGGCGGTCGCCTGCTTCATCTTTGGCCACCAGACCAGAGATGGGTTTAACCACCATTGTGTATAGCCAATATACCATGTCTGGTTTTAGCCCCCATGTTTTTCCATAAGTGCGTCTGGCGAGCATCAGTGCTACTTTCGCTTTCCTCTTTATCCTGTCCAAGTGTTGGTTCCAGGTCAGTTTGGAATCTAGGATTACTCCCAGATATTTAACCTCCCCCGACACTTGTATTTTTTCACCTCGAAGTTTTAGAGGTCCGAGACCCTCCGTTTTAGTCCTCTTGGTGAATGCTACTATGGTCGATATGGATGGGCTTATGTTAAGCCCTTCCTCTTCAGTCCATCTTGTTATAATACTCAGGGCCTTTACTACATTATTGTATTTACTCTGGACTAAGATAACTAAGTCGTCTGCATAGCCCAGTGCTGTATACCCATTGTGGTCCAAGAGACATGATAGCTCGTCCATTACAAGGTTCCATATCAGAGGGGATAGAACCCCCCCTGAGGGCAGCCCCTTGCTACACGTGCCACGACTGTTTCCCCCATAATGGTTGTATATACCAATCTTCCCCTAAGCATGCAGTCTATCCACCTGCAGCTTGTCTTGTCGATCCCTCTTCTCCTCGACGCCTGGATGATTGATTCTAACGACGTATTATCAAATGCGCCCTCAATGTCCAAGAAAGCTGCTAAAATTACTTCCTTGTTTTTGTAAGTATATCCTACTTTTTCTGTTACCCGACATAAAGCCGTTTCTGTTGACATACCTGACCTGTATGCATATTGGTCTCGATGTAATGGTCTGATAGTCCCTGATATGCCTGTCAATTAGTTTTTCTAGCGGTTTCAATGCAAATGGCTAATTATCTAAGAACAATTCGTTCAGGCCAGTCTCAACTCCCTACAGAGTAGGTTAATGGACTGACACCCATCAGAAAACAATTACTCCCCTGGCTAATACCACGAAGGGCGTTGGATTATATCCGACAGGTGTCAGTGCAGGATTCTTCACAGAAGTTATTCCTGCATATGCTGTTGGCGATACAACTGCTGCAATATATTTTCAATTATTGGAACACACTTGCAGACCGGTTTCGGGCTGTTTGGCCACTCGTCAGTGCAAGGTAGTGCATCAACATAAAGTCGATGATTTCCGATAATTGAAAATCGAATTCCGTCAGAGTATCATTCCTCGAACTAAGCTGAAGCATACAACAAACAACAGGTTTGTCGCCGCCCCATCTGCCTGTGAACGAGGTAACCAACTGCATATCCGAAATTTGACCAATTCCTCGTATAAGGAAAAAAAGCTTTCACATATAGTCAGTGGGCATACTTGAAGACTGGCTATAAATCAAATTATCTAAGAACAATTCGTTCAGGCCAGTCTCAACTCCCTGCACAGTAGGTTAATGGACTGATACCTATCAGAAAACAACTACTCCCCTGGATAATACTACGAAGGGCGTTGGATTATATCCTGCACTGAAACCTGTCGGATATAATCCAACGCCCTTCGTGGTATTGGCCAGGGAAGTAGTCGTTTTCTGATAGGTGTCAGTCCATTAACCTACTGTGTACGGAGTTGAGACTGGCCTGAACAAATTGTTCTTAGATAATTTGATTTATAGCCAGTCTTCAAGTATGCCCACTGACTATATGTGAAAGACATGAGACTAATTGGTCTCAAGGCCTTGGCCTGTCGATGTCGGGGTGTTAAAATAACGGTTTGAGATTGGGAAAAAACTCCAGTAATATTCATTACTACACCAAAGGTTTCAAACAGTGCATCAGAAGTTCATTATATTTGTTTGGTAATTGAGATTACTCCTCTTAGAGAATTAACCCCCTTTTTTTTATCACTACACCAACGGTTCCAAACAGTACATCACAACTATATATTTTTTTCACTGTATCAGGACTATAATTGCCTACTGGCAGCCATCTTGATTCTTTTTTGACTTGAGTGTGACAGTATATGCAGAAAAAATCAGTAATTAGTAGTAGATGAAAATAAATTGATTATATTTTTAGGTTGAAGATCAGGCAGACATCGACAAAAAAATCCAAGAGGAAATGAAAGCTAAAGCAGCACGGGAGCTTGCAAGTCGATCGCAAGTAATCCAAAGAGGCTTCCCCAGACCTCAAGAAGTTAACATGTCTGTGTTACGTCCTCCCCATGAGAGCTATTCTTTGACAGATCTCCAGAAATCCGAGGAACTGATAAAATGTGAAATGGTGACAATGCTGCTACACGACAATCTGAAAAACCCGGTACCAAACTCGAATAAGAGGTCTAATTTAACACAAGCTGAACAACTGGCTTTCCTGGAACAACATCCGTATGAAAACTTCCGAGACGAAGACATAGCCATCGCAAAAAATATGTTGAAACGCGAGATGGATATTGTAAAAGTCGGCATGAGCCACGGAGAACTTCCCTTAGATGTGTATACTCAAGTCTGGGAGGAATGCCTCGGTCAAGTTCTTTTTCTCCCTAATCAAAACAGATACACCAGAGCGAACTTGGCAAGTAAGAAAGATAGGCTAGAATCCGCCGAAAAGAATTTGGAACAAAACCGGTCACACATGGCTAAGGAAGCAAAGAGAGCTGCGAAAATGGAGAAGAGATTGAAAATATTGACGGGGGGGTATCAGTCAAGAGCTCAAGCATTGATTAAGCGACTTAATGACTTGTATGAAGACACTGATCAGGCCAACTTGGAATTGAATACTTTCAAATTTTTACTGGAACAGGAGAAAAAGGCACTTCCTAGGAGAATACAGGTAAGGATTCTTCTCATGAGTTGGTTTGAAAAAAAATATGCTCATAATTTGAAAGCAAATTGTCAACGATCGGAATAGTACTCGTCTCTATGTGGACACACGTGCGCGTGTATTTATACAGGGTGTAACAGAAGTACGTTAAAATATTCAAGTGACGTACTCCTGAGACAATTTTAAGATAAAAAGTCTATATGAACGTGTGTCCGAAAATGCTTCGTTTTGGAGATACGGGGTGTTAAAATTGAACTTTTTTGTTCGCTTTTTGAAAATAACTCTTGCAAAAAAATAATAACTCTTGCGAAAAATGTCACATCACAAATGAGGTTATAAGGTCTGATGAACTAACAATAATTAGAGGGGTACCACAAGGATCAATTCTAGGTCCATTGCTGTACATTCTCTATACCAATGAACTACAAATGGACAACAACTTAAACACTATACAATTTGCTGATATACCCGGGTTTTTTTTGACGTGGGAAATCATAATTTCGTAATAATTTTCATGTAACATCTAGAGGGCGCTGCGTACGCTGTCATTATTTATTTCAAATAACCCTAACTTTTTTGACAGTAAACTTTTGGTACTTTTCATGAAAAAACCTAATTCCCACACCTGTTCCAAGTAAAAAAGGTACCTCTCCTCAACAACGCTGGAGGTGATCGTTTTCGAGATATTTAAAATTTTCTATATCTATGCATATTACTTGGCGTAGGGCGCTAAGTGAAGTTGCTGAGAACATTACAAAAACTAAGTATGTGGTGGATCTCATCAAAATAAACAACTTTTTCCTATAAAATGTTTAACAAAGAATGATTCGTTTTCGAAATGCAGATTGTTGAAATTTTTCAAACCATGGTAGGTTTTTGTCATAAGTTTTTTGCAATTTTAGTTATTTTCATCAAACTTTATAAGCAGTATACGCGTACAGACTTCTTCTAAACTGAGTATTATCGAACTGCTTATTCAATCCAAATTAAAAAAATTTGTCAGGTTTAGTTATTCAATTAGAAAGTGCTACATTTCGGAGTTTGTAAAAAAAACAATTCGGAGAAGTACTATGTTATTTATTAGGAAAATAAACATATAAAAATTGAATGAAACAACTATTACAACAACTGTTCGAAGTGACGACCCCCAACAGTGATACAAGCTTCTGCTCTCCTCATCAAAGAATTCCGCGTCCGTTGAAAACTGCCCGGAGTGTTTCTTATCGTTTCGCAGCAAGCTATGATGCGATCCCTCAACATTTCCTCGTTTTCAATGGGGCTAGCATAAACTAGTGATTTTAGGTGTCCCCGAAAGAAAAAATCGACGGGATTGAGGTCCGGTGACCTCGGGGGCCAATGCTTAGTGCGTCCTCTTCTTATCCATCGTTGGGGATATGCTACTTCTACGTGTATAAACCAAGAGTGATTTCGGAGACTAATGGGAACATCTACCATAAGTTGGGGAAGCTCGTGTTCCAAAAAATGTAGGTAAGCATCTCCATTCAAACGTAAGAGGAGAAAATAGGGCCCAATTAAATAATCCCCAATTATGCCTACTCATACAATTAAAGAGAATCTGTATTGGAAATGAGTTTGCGTTAAAGCATGTGGGTTATCTTCCGCTCAGATGTGGTTGTTATGGAAGTTCATTTCTTGAAAAATTAGCCACATGTGTGAAGAGGATTTTCGATAAAATTTGCGGATGTTCGACTTTTTTTTTGAAGCCATTGAGCAAATTCGATACGAGGTTGGAAATCACGTAGCGTAAGTGCCTGGACACGCTGAATATGATAAGGATATATTTGCTGTTCCTTTAAAACTCTATAAACTGTCATGTGACTCATATCTGTATCTGTAGAGTAGGGAGGGTGAGTGTAAGCCCACGCACTTAGGCCACATGTGACCCATTGTACATCCTCCCGAGGAGTTGTCCTTCTAGGTCATCGTCCATCCTGTTCTTTCCAGGAAGATGGACAGGTCGTTAGGAGACATCTCTTTTATATCGGCAGGTGTAGGCCAAGACTCGCCGAACACGCACTCTCTTATTGACGATAACTCCGGGCACTCGCACGGGACATGCCTGACAGTCTCATCTTCCTGTTCACACATCCTGCATAGAGGTGTGTCCACTAGCCCCATAGTATGTAGGTGTTTCCTTAGCTGACAGTGGCCAGTCAGAAATCCTACTGTAAGGCGTAGATTTTTCCTGGTCATCGCCAGATATTTCTTCGGCGCCAGCTTCCCAGGGTCGCCCAAGGTGATCCTGGCAAGATTACATCCTT